CCTGTTGGTCCTCCCGTCCATACCTCACATCTGGAGAGCCTGCTGGTCCTCCCGCCCATACCTCACATCTGGAGAACCTGCTGGTTCTCCTGTCCATACCTCACATCTGGAGAACCTGTTGGTCCTCCTGTCCATACCTCACATCTGGAGAACCTGTTGGTCCTCCTGTCCATACCTCACATCTGGAGAGCCTGTTGGTCCTCCCGTCCATATCTCACATCTGGAAAACCTGCTGGTCCTCCTGTCATACCTCACATCTGGAGAACTTGCTGGTCCTCCTGTCCATACCTCACATCTGAAGACCCTGCTGGTCCTCTTCCTGCCTGCTCATCCTTCCTGTTACACCTGACATCAAGACAGCTTTAATTAGCTCTGCTGCCTTGGTCATGGCCCTGTGAAAAATTCTAACCATTTGTAGACAAGAAATTTCTAATATAAACAGTTCATTGGAGCTCTGAGGCCATGACACAAATGAACAAACAAGGATGACTGAATATAATTAAAAACACATTTTGCTGGTTTGTCATTTGCGAAGTTCCCTTTAAACTTAAGAAGTTAAGGGAACATTTATATAGTGTCATCAATTTGTCATTAAATCTCATTGCCCATACAAAACTGTAAAAGTGGATGCTCTGTTTCCCCTGTAGCCATGTCAGCTTGTTGATTGAGTTTGTCACATGACTCAAGATGTGCGCAGTGTTGCAAGATGATGTACGACATAATGAGGGAACACAGGGGCTAATCTACTGCAAACTGTCCGTTTATCTCCAGCTGGGTCAGTGGATCAGCTTCAGCCAGATGAAACCCTTACACACCACTTAAAAATGCCTCAGTTGGAACACTTTGAACTAAAGAAAGAACCATGACACTGTGTCCACCCACAGCACCCTCTGACTCCCCACCATTTTAAAATAACATCTCTTCTTTGCCCCTGTGGAGACCTGTCGAGAAACTGAGCATCTCCTGGAAGCGGAACGGCTTGAAGCTGGTGAATGGGGTGGGCACGTTCGGACGCAGGCTGACCATCGCCAGCCCAAGCTCGGCGGACGCGGGGCTCTACGTGTGTGAAGCCACCCTGCTCAACAGCAGTATGAGAGTTGCCGAATCCCGGGCCTTCCTCTCCATTGCAGGTAACTTTCTTACTTACCTTCACAGCAGAAGGAAGGAGAGGAACTCAGTCCAGGAGCTCTGCAGCTAACCATTAGCCACAGGTCGCTAAAGGCACTGTGTGTTTGAGCTGCACAGGCCACACCCAGGAGCAGTGATGGGGCTCTGCAGCTAACCGTTAGCCACAAGCCGCTAAAGGCACTATGTGTTTGAGTTGCACAGGCCACACTCAGGAGCAGTGATGGAGCTCTGCAGCTAACCGTTAGCCACAGGCCGCTAAAGGCACTGTGTGTTTGAGCTGCACAGGCCACACCCAGGAGCAGTGATGGAGCTCTGCAGCTAACCGTTAGCCACAGGCCGCTAAAGGCACTGTGTGTTTGAGCTGCATAGGCCACACCTTAAATCCTATGCTAAAGAGAATGTCTGAAAAGTAATAATTTTTTTACAGTGGCACTATGAGTCTGGGCCTTTAAACACAGTGCCTCATATAGCTTAAATCAATGGCACTTTTTTTTTTTTTTTAAATAAAAAAATAAAAAACCTGGGGCGCTTCGTAGCCTGGGAATGGCTTCTTGTTCTGGCGATCGGTAAGAGGCGAGAAAACGACACGCAGCCTGCGGCATTAAGTCTGCCAGCTCCACTCCTTACGCCGGGAAGTCATTTAATATAAACAAACATCGTTGGCAACATGCAAACAAACAGGATGTCTGCATCGGCGTAGCACTCCAGCTGAGCTGCTTTTTTTGCATTTAAATGAGTTTCTGCTCTGGGAGCATATGTTCGCCTTCAGCTTCTCCGAATCAATGTCAATATTTCATCTCTTTGATCCCGGTTCCACATATAATCCTCTTGATATATGTTAGGCTGTGCCTGTCGATGTTTGTGGTTCGCTCCATTTGTGATAGATAACTCCTAACAAATGAGTTTCAAATGTTTTTTTTTTCCCCACTAAATGTGTTTTTTTTTTTTTTTCGTCTCTTATTGGACAGAGGGCCCACACTTTGTCACAGAACCCGCAAGGAAGGTCGTCGGCGAATTGGAGAAAAACGTCGACATCCACTGTCAAGTGAGAGGTGGTGAACGGTTTGCTAACCTCTCTGTATTTTCCGCTAGATCTGCTTTGTTCCAGGAAGCTCACGCGGCCCCTGTTCTGCTGAATGCATGATCACAGCCGCAGTACACCCCTGAAAGCTCAGGAAATCTCAGCTCTAAGGCTGAAAGGTTTTTGAAAAGAAATTTTAACTACACTAGGATCTTGTAGGGTGGTCCATTAGCGTTTAGCTCTGCAGTACGCATTGAACTTTGAGATGTGTGGTCTTTCACCATATTTTATTTGAAACGGTCTGGATCAACATCCTAGGTTCTGGGACCTGTTGCACCAAGTTTTTGTGGTCACTTAATGTCTATCTGTACTTTAAAATTAATACTCAGAAATGTATCCTTGAAATTGCATCTACAGAATGTAAACACTAAAACTTAGAAACTGTATAGCGCTATGAATAAAAAGTGTCCTGCATCCAGTTTTTTCCCCTTATATCAGCGTCAGGGCCGATCCTGTGAGATGTGATGTAATCCATACAGAGGGGCCGGTTTTATCATAAGCCAATGATTGGTTTTCAGTCGGTGAGTGACAGGTTAGGGGGCACTCAGAGGGCCAATCAGCTTTCAGCTGGGGCTGGTCAGGGGTTATATCTTTCTACGTGTCTCACACTGTATAGCCACAGAGAGCAGCTGGGTGAAAATGGATCTGAAAGAAGAAAACATTCCTCCCGTGTCCTTTAATAATGCCTAATGATGTCAGAGACCTGGCACATGGTAATTTAGTCCTGTGTCCCTCTCGTTTATGTTGCATCATAATATAAGCAGAATGTATCCCCAGTCAAACAGCTTATTACCGACAATCTGCCGTCCGCATTTGTTAGCTTGTATTTTATATTTTCTTTTTCTCAGCATGTGAATTGGTGTGAACCTCCTTGGTAATCAGGCACGGAGCCTTTTTAATTAAATGTGAGAAGCCTCGGGATGTCCGCAGATTGATTTCTCGATTGCTTTGTATCGAGAGGTGCTTCTTCTAAGCCACGGTGAGAGGAAACGACGAGGGGGAAGGCATACGAAATGACCGGGTCTGCCGAGTGCCACAAAGCCGTAGCGGAGAAGCAGCCTCCCTGGCGCCAAATGTCCCCCGCAATATGATAAAAACCTGTTATTTTGACGTTGTGGGGACCATTTTTCAGGTCCCCTCAAAGATCTGTGAATGCAGGCAAGAAACTAAAAATGCCAAAAGTGTCCTATTTTGTTTGGTTAGTTATGGTTAAGGTTAAGGTTAGGGCTCGGTAGGGGTTAAGGTCGTCATATTGGGATTAGAGTGTTCCAGAAATGAATGGAGAGTCCCCACAAAGATGTAATTACGATCCTGTGTGTGTGTGTGTGTGTGTGTGTGTGTGTGTGTGTGATATTACTTATAAATGAGTAATAAGATCCAGTTATGTCATGTTACAATTGTGTCAGTAATGAGTTCATTTAAAGAACTGAAGTGACTTAAACTTTCTCTATCTGCAGCTTTTATGTCATATTGTGTTTGGGGAGACGTATCACTATATCCCAACGTGTTGTCATGGTGTCATGGTGTCATGGTGTCATGGTGTGCTTTGTCACCACACTGTATTTAGGTTAGGCGACCGGGGATGAGCAGCACTTATTTATTATAAGAGAATTTATATCCCCTTGTAGTTTCACCTAAACATACGGCTGGAGGCGTTTCTGCTATTTCTTAACACGCTGAGTTCCTGTAGTAATTACTTCCTACATATTCAGCCGCATGAAACATTCAGCGATAACAGCTCTGTGTGGTGTTTGCTAAGATTGGGCAACTTGTCCACCAGAAACCACAAGATGTATTGTCATCAAAGTATGATGAGTTAGAATAATGTGTGCAGTGTTATGTAATACCTGAATACGTGTGTGTAGAAACATACCCGCGTGTGTGTTTGGTCTGTCGGGTTGCACAGTGCCTCTGTGGGTAGCACTGTAGTTTTATATCTCCAGCGTTGGCGGTTTGAATCCCACCCACACTCTCTCTCTGTGTAGCTTGCAGGTTCTTCATGTGTTGTACTGGTTCCTTCTGGATACTTTGTTTTTAGAAAAACACATGAATTGGCATCTCTGAAATTGCCCCATAACGTGTGCTTGTGTGGGTCAAGACTGTGTGCATTTGACTCTCTTACGATCTCCTGAAATGATGGCTAGGCTGTACCCCAACTCTGTGATACCCCGCACAGGCTGTACCCCAACTCTGTGATGCCCTGCACAGGCTGTACCCCAACTCTGTGATGTCCCGCACAGGCTGTACCCCAACTCTGTGATGCCCTGCACAGGCTGTACCCCAANTCTGTGATGCCCTGCACAGGCTGTACCCCAACTCTGTGATGTCCCGCACAGGCTGTACCCCAACTCTGTGATGCCCTGCACAGGCTGTACCCCAAATCTGTGATGCCTCGCACAGGGTGTACCCCATCTCTGTGATGCTCCGCACAGGGTGTACCCCATCCCTGTGATGCCCGCACAGGGTGTAACCTATCTCTGTGATGCCCCGCACAGGCTGTACCCCATCTCTGTGATGCCCGCACAGGGTGTACCCCAAATCTGTGATGCCTCACACAGGGTGTACCCCATCTCTGTGATGCTCCGCACAGGGTGTACCCCATCTCTGTGATGCCCGCATAGGCTGTACCCCATCTCTGTGATGCCCGCACAGGGTGTACCCCATCTCTGTGATGCCCCGCACAGGGTGTACCCCA